GCTTTGTTGTTCTTTTCCCGGCTCTACTGCGAATCGGACAAATTCGAGTGCTAAACGATCATTATGAGGTTTTGAACCAGCTGAGGGTTGCACGTTGCAGGGGTTAGGGTTTGTGCTTGACTTGACTGCCAAATTGAAACATTCGGATGAGGTCTAATTAATCTATTTACTCTGGGAAATGAATTGTGCATTTGAAAGGGATTTGGAAGTGAAAATACTCGGTCAAGGGTTCAAAAAAGAGGTGCGTTACCATGAGACTTTGAGAGCGAGCCTCCTAAATTCAAACTCATCCCTCCAGATCCTGACTTGACGGTCAACTACACTCACTTAGCTCAACCTTCTATAGTCCGAACCCTTCTCTCTCTTAACGAGTTAAAGCCCCAAGTCCACTTAACCTGCTAACTCCATTCGAGGATAAAGCAGTGGCGAAAACATTCAGCCATAAATTTATCAGCGAAACATGAAACGTGCGAGTGCCCGAAAAAGATACTCAGATGAAGACACAGATACGTTTGTTCAGTTTGAGATACTCTGATAGCGATACCCAAAACAGATACAGATACAGATACGGATCCCGATGAAGATACATGCAAAAGCAATCAGTGTATTGACCACAACGATTTTTGACATGTTACGCATACAAATTAGAGCAGACTGCCCCTTCATTTTTTCCCCAGCCTTTTCTGATTTTTTCCTTTTGGTTCATTTGAAAGCGAAAAAGCAATCCCCAATAAAGAAGCCAACAAAAGGCAAAAAGGAGAACTGAAAGCAGAAATCGGCAAACAGAAGCCAAAGAAAAGTTGAAGCAGTTAAAGAAAGAATTATATATATAAATAAAAACAGCACGGGCAAAAAGAGCCGAGTGAAAAAAGTGCTGAAAGGGGGAGAATAAGTAACGCGAAATACAAAAAAAATAAACATACAAAGCAACCAAGACTTTGACGAATGAAAAATGCTCTTCAGACTGATATTCCATTCATATTTATTCAATCCCAAATTTAAAAGTGTGTAAGTTTATTTTAACGCATATTAAAAAAATTATGTTTGTTATAGTTTCCATAAATGTGTTACACATTTTCTTTTTTAAAATGAGCTCATAAAAATATTGTATTTAATCCTTTTTTCATGTGCGGATTATATAAGAGGATTAAAACCTTGTTTCAAAGGTTTATATAGGCAAAAAAAGCTCCATTCTAACGAAGAAATTCACGGAGAAATTCAGACTGAGGACTAAGCAAAAAGCCGGCATCATCAAGTACCCACAACACAATCCATGCTAATGATCCAAAATGTCTCGAGGACAAATTCCCCCGTTTCCAATTCCAGTAGCCAACGCAATTAGCAAAAGGTGAGAAAGGTAGGAAAGGTGAGGGGATTTTTAGGCGAGGTTTGCCCGCCAACTCAGGCGTGACAATCGCTGCGGAGTTGGTCAAGAAATGCCATCACGTCAAGCGCGACCCCCTGCCGTTTTTCTGGCGACTTTAATCGCCCACAACGCGTTCGGAATGCAAAAAAAAAAGTGAAGTGTAGAAAAAACGTAGTAAAAAAATGGCAAATCAATTAATATTCAAAAGCTGTTGAGTCAGTAGCTTCTAGCCACCTTTGCCAACCTGCAGCAGTTGGAATGTTACAATACAACAACCAAGATATTAATCAACGTAAATTGATATTCGAAAGCGATTTTCTATCAACGCTTCATGCAAATATTTACAGAAATTAATTTTTAACATACTAGAATCGTCAAAGCGAAGAAATAAATTGGCTGATGTGTGACAAAAACTATAAAAATCATTGCCATTCCGCCGATAAAAACGGCACGCAAAAAAGTCACACAAAACTTTAGAAAAATATTTATTTTTTGCGAATTCTGGCGAAAATTTTTCTGTAACCAATGACGAGGTCGTTTGGAGGGTTAAACAAAAACTCGCTAGCTTCGTCATCAGTCAGCAAATGTTATTGAATTTTTACTATTTTCATTTACTATTATGCTGTATTCGACTCGCGCTATCTGTGTGAGCCACATTATTTAAATGTTGAGGAATTCTGACTGCATTTCGGCAGTGTGTGGAAGTTGTTTAAACAGCTGCGAGTTTAAATCCGCCACCCACCTCAAAAAAGAAAAAACGCCGAGTGCATAAACATGACTACAAACATACGAACCGAGAGATATAAATTCGCTCCATGCGAGTTATAAATTCCATATGCCAAAGCATCAAAACAAAAATGCGTACTGCTGTTTTTTATTTCTACGCTACTGAAATAAAACTTTTGGGGCTGTGGTTCAAGGGGTTGGATTTAAGGTAAGGTTCATTTCGATATCTCCCCCAACTTCACAAATTTCTATATACATATAAAACACACATACAGATGTTAACTTTTAATAAGTAAACAAAGCGACCAGTTAGGTGATCGTTTTTCTACAATAACGAGTTATTGGCTAACCCTTTACCATATATCCTCTTCAAAAACATTGTTACAACCCTTTGAAAATAGCATTTAAATGACTGCGGATGGCTTCAAACATTTTCCAACAGCGGTCTGCAGTACCATTGTTTACTTAACTCCTACCTTTGCCTATCAATATTTCCACAACAGTCACTGGAGTTTCAACTAACTAAACCAATTTATTGTATTCAAAATCCCCTTTGAATCCAGTGCCTCCGGCCGTCTATTTTCCACTTTTCCGTACATTCAGCTTTGATTTTGCAAATGCAAATTGTGAATATATAAATTTTCCTCTGCAGGAAAAACGTTTCTCATTTGCACCGCATCTGCTGCCCACCTCCGACTCGTCCCGTCTCTTTCTGCCCCACTCTACCTGCTCCCTTCTGCCCCACCTCCCCTTCCCTTTCATTCGTTTTTTGGCCAACATATTTCCACACACGTCGCTGAATTTTGCACGTAAAAAATGTTTGAAACAAACAAAATATTTGTTTAATTTATTTTAATTTCAAAGTTGCAGCAGTTGCAGATATTTTCTGGTACCGGAAAGGGGAAGAGTGGAGCCACGGCTGTGTAGAAAAGGATATGGAGGTGAAAAAAGAAGGACAATAACAACTCCGGAAAAGTGAGAAAAACTAAGCCACAATCATAATTCACGCGCTAAAAACACCAACGGAAGAGGGAGGGAGGAGCCGTTTTTGGAGTCAGGCACTTGGAAAAGCCAGGAAATGAAATAAATGTGGAAAAACTCAAAGGGAAAACGGCGTGGAAAAGGACGACAGCTAGCAGGTAGACAGAATGTAACAAAGCGGCAAACGAAAACAAAAACCAAAGGCTGGAAAAGGAAATAAACGTAAAACTCCACACAAATTGTTGCAAACAACCTTTCGAGCACTTCTTAAGCAATATCCTGAGTTTCTCCTTGAGCGTTTCATTGCACACGCACAGGATTTTTAAGGAAAACTCAAGGAAAGTGGAAGGCATTTAAGGGATCAACTGGAAAGATGTGGTGACAATCGAGGAGACGAAGGACAAGAAAATGACTCGAGTGCTGGCTTCGAAAATAACATTGCGGCTTAGAGGAGGAGTTCAGCCTACTAATGAATTGGAAACAATATTATAATATTATATTATAACTTGATGCTGGTTAAAAAGTGAGCTTTGTTGCTTAGCTGGGACTTCTGCCAAAGGTCTTAAGTTCTTCCAGTCGTCGCTGTTAATCTTTTAATGTGTTTTTAATGCCCGAGCCCTCAACCCCCGGAAGTATTCCCTCTTGGCCACTGTCGTCAAATCTAATAATGCCCCCGAGTTCAGCAATTCCCCAGAAGCTCGAGGCCAAAAAACCTCGGCAGAGAGTTCATTGATTTCTGGATTCTTTTTGATCCAGAGGCGTTGACAGCTTGGCCAGAAACTAAGCTTTTACGAGTAGTTGCCATAAACGCGCCAAAGAACGCGTGTCAAAGGCCCAATTAAGATGTCAAATCAACACGTTTTTATTAAACGATTACACAAACAAAACACGAGCAGAAGCGCCATAAAGTTAATGGTGCAATATATCTCTTTGAGGGGTAAAAACTCTGGGGTTGCAGCAACTTATCACAGGCGAATTAATAAAGGAGGTGCTCCCCTTTTAGAGTTCCCTTGACCGATTTGCCCGATTGAGTGGATATAATTCACATTTAAATTTAGTCCCGGCCCTCGGATGTTTTTCCATGGGGTTCTTTAAGTATTAAAAAGCATTTTGTAAGCAAAGTACTCTGCGTGGGAAGGGAAAAACTTTGGCGAAGCGTGCCAAAGTAAAGTTTTCCTATATCCTTCCATGCTCTTCCCTCTGCTCTCCACCTCCCATCGTTCCACTTTTCTTTGGGACAGTGAACATTAGTGCATTATACAAATTAATTTCAACATTATACAAATGTAATAGCAGTATGTGTTGAATAAAACAATATTTCAGTAAATATGTTTGCTTACCTATGATTAGTATATTGTGATTTGATTCACTTATGGAGTATCGACTGTACTTTAAGTTCAGATTCAATATCGAGGGCTCTTGCTAACAGTTAGCGCTGCCAATTGACAGGAGCCAAAGTAAGCGAGTGAAACAAGGTGGGTGGGGAAAATTGGGTGGAAAGTGTTTGAAAATTGGAGGCTTGAGTGCCAGATAAAAACTTTATGCTGACGTGAAACTGCAACAACAAAGATCAACAAAAAACCAAAGTGACGTCGCAAGGTGACAACAGCAAAGACGACATGAAATTGGGGTTAAAAATGGTAAGGAAAGATTGTATAAAAAGGAAGCTGTCATAAACAGGGAAAGCCAAAGAAGTAAAAGAAAGTTTAAATTGATTTCAGATGCATACATATTTAGGTACCAAAGACAGCAAAAGACTGGTAATTTTTTTGGTAGGTATATCAAGTAAAATATATAATATTTAATGAATATAATAATTTTTCTGAAAATGAATCATGAAAAAACCCTGGAATTTCGGGCGATAATCTTTAACCTGGGATAAACTTTAGCCTTGCTATAAGCAGTAAAAAAAAGTAAACAAACTTACCGATAAGAAATATATGCCAAATATTTAGCGCTGCTCTCCTCGCACTCCTGCTACCGACTGTTGCCGTCTCTATCATGGCCGTTTTTTGCCACATACTGTCAATTTAATATATATTTTAGGTCTTTCTGTCTTTCAGATGTTGTTATCGGTTCTTCTGATTTTCTATAGAAATAATAAATGTTGCCAATGCTCCAACTCTTCTTCTTCCAATGATAACGGCTTCTTGAGCTTCTCCTAGCTACTCCAGTTGTTGTTGCAACGCTCCATTGCGTTGGTAAATGTTTTTGGTTTTTGTGGATAAATACGTATTTTGTTAATTATTTATTGCACTTGAGATCTAAGGGGTATCCGAAAACGAAGAAGAACAACTGAAAGGGGTAAGAAGTGATTTTGATTAGATTTTGCACTTTAAGTGAATTTATATGTAGGTGTTTTGGGTTTGTTCCACTTTTGTAGGTTCTATTTTTATATATTTGTTTACAGTCGACTTGGAACTATCGTTTGTTGTGTATCTCACAAAGGTAATTAATTTTGAATTTTTTCTATATATAGATCTTTTTTTATAACTTCAGTACGTTTTATCAAGGAGGTGATTCGTTAAATTTCGTTAAGTTCACGATGTCCATTTGTCACTTTTTATCTCTGCCCACCACTTCTTTTTCACAGTTATAATGCACATTACTTGGTAGTTGTTGCTTTATTTTAGAGTTGCAACATGTTTTCGTTGTTGTTGGGCTTTTGAACAGGTAAGAAAATCACTTAAAAGGTTTCCAAGAAACTCACAACAGTACCACTCACACACACATTGAAGGCAAACCTGTTTTCCAGGTAAAGAGATAGAGGTCTGCGAGTGCGAGCGGGACAGCGCGATCGCAAGAGATCGAAGATGGAGGAAGGAGAGAGGGAGGGAGAGAGAGATATGACGCAGATGCTGGGTTTTTATTTTTTATTTTATCTTCTCTGCTTCTCCAGTTTTAACTGTTATTGGTTTGGGACAACTTTAAGGTATTTCACTAAGAAATATTTGATTTCTATATTTTCATTTGTTTTTGTATGTTTCTCTCTTGATTCCTTTGCATATCTTGATTCTGTTTTAAAAGCACTCACTTTGCACCTAATATTGGTTTGATTTTATACCTTAAACTTGGTATTTTATTCGTTTTGGGCCAATATCTTGCTGTTGTTGTTGTTCGCACGCACGCGAAAATCGAAAATCGGCGAAAAACGCGGCGGGAAACTCAGCGACGCGCACTCACTTTTTCACGAAGCGGTCGATTCGAAAAGGAAAACCATACAGAACAGAGAAAGAGAGTTTTGGAGCCACGAACCACGCGGCTCGAATCCGACGTTCGGTTCAGACATGTATGAAGGTGTCGGAAGCGGTTAACAGCGATGCTGCCAATGTGTGTAGATATGTATTTACATACGTCTTCCACGGTTCCCCTGCAAGTGAATGTTTCCTTTTCTTAAAGGGCCATTATTCATGCCAACAACATAGATTTAAAATAAAGGCTTTCGAAGTGCTCAGTTTGAAAATAAGTTGCAGATCTCTCTACACATTTAATTTTTTGGGCCTTCTTGACGAATAGGTTGCTGTTCGAGAAGCACCTATCTTTTGCTGATTGAGGTTTATCTTTGATCTTAAGTTTATCTCTTATATCTGGAATATCTTCTCTACATTTGTTCTTGCAACTTATAATACTACAAAAGAAATTTACCCTTGGGATATCACAGAAATGTATTCGAGTTAAAACTAAGTACAAATATGCAAAATGAGTATGAGTTTTTTAAACTCTTAGATTGAAAAATGCAAACACTACAGAGAAAGAGAAACAAGCCACGCGGTTGGAGTACCATGCTCGATTCAAACACGTATGAAGTGGTCAAAAGCAGTTAACAGCAGTTTTAGTCTGTGCTCGAGCCACAACTAATCGGTTAACAGCGGTATTGTCGGATGTTAACAAGTGGAAGAGCGTCTATCGGTTAAAAGTATGGCTCGAACGGACTTCTCTTTTATATACTGCTCTCTTTGAAGTTACTCTTTATCCTTAACATCTGAGGTTTTGCTGTCAATAAAATAACTGGATAAAAACCTCAAAAAAACGATCAACATTTAAATTTTTAATTTTTTTGTTAGGTCAATATACATTTAGTCATGTTTAGATTAAGATTAAATAAGTAAATGTTAACATTTTATTATCAGAAAGAATTTTTGATCTATCTTTTTTGATACACACACATATGAAACAGAAAAATACAAATAAAAAATGCCAAAAAAAATAACAAATTCAACTTGTAAATAATTTTAAAAAAATATTTCTTAACCTTTTAAAAATTTAAACAAAATAAATGAGACCAACAGCGCTCTCCTTTCGCCTTTAGCAACATGTTGCTTTTTACATCAGGTTTTGTGTGTCTTTTTCGACAAAAAAAACTTGTTTTTATGGCCAACAAGAAAAACCAGTCGGAAAAATTAGTCAAGAAAAATAAGAAAAACCAGCAACAAGTTGGGCGCAAAGGAGATGGAAAGACGGTTCGTAAGAGAACGAGACAGCGGATATCCAACAAGTTTGAAGGTAAAAAACTTCGTTAAGTTTGCAGATATGTGCATCCCTATCGCACCCCCTGAAGATCGCTGTTAACGATCTACATTTAACCAGTTTTTTAAGACGAAGAGAAGAAGAAGAAAGACAAAGCCAAGAAAGATAAAGAGAAGCAAAATAGGAGGAGGGGAAAAAGCTTTCCAGAAAACAAAATTTTTTAATATTTCTTAATAATTTAAGCATGTAGCATTTTATTTTTTAAATTTAAAAATATTCCTGACTAGCATATTAAAAATAATATTCACTAAGTTTTAAGATTTGTAGGTTGGATTTATTGACGACGTTTGTATTGCGGTTTGGTCGTCAGAGTTCATGTTTGCTTTGCCTGCTGTTTTCTTTCACCTTCTCTTCTTCTGCTCCCCCTCCCCCTTTCCCCTTAACCACACCGTCTCTAGACCAAAACCCGTTTTCCGTCAGTAAAACTCGTTATTTTCAAGACGAAAACCTCGTTGACACGACACTCTTCAGCATAAACCTTTTCTTAGACTTATTATATTGACCACACCCACAAGATTTAGATATTGCCGGTTGATTCAGCTTACTAAAAATAAATTTTATTAAATATGTTGCTCATGCAACTTAAAATAAAAGGGTTAAGTTAAGTTAAATTAATAACTATCCACACAACTGATTTTTTTATTACTTTAAATGTTTGTCATCAACAAGTTTGTTTACTTGTTTTTTAAACACTGCATAAGGCCATCAATTTATGGTTTATTTTATTTGGCTTGCAGAGTTTTGATTTCTTAGGTGCGCTTGCATTTTCAATATTCTTTTGAGAGTCAGTCCACGCACTTGCATAATAAACGCATCAGATTCACAGTCAGCCCAAGAATGGTAAATGATTTTAAAAGAGATTTTCTGCTCATTCTGCCTCTTCGTCGTGTTCCCCAATGTTTATTGAATTTTTGATTTAGGCCTTGGAGCGATTTCTGCTTATAATAAAACCCCGGACATGTCCCGCTACTAAAGACGCATACAAATGACCTCTGTGCAAACCCGTCTCCGCCGCATTTCCCTCAGGTGAAAAGCCGACTAGACACGGATACCTCCCCACTGACTTTGAATTTCCCCACTGGAAATATATTATATATGTCTGCGCGAAGTCGCGTCTTATTATCCATATCCCTTGGTTATGGCTGCTAATCTTCCTTGGGCCGCACTAATGTTTTATATTTTCAGTTTTAAAGCCAACTTGCATATTTACTCTGAGGTATTTCCCTGCATATTAATCGCGGCAGGAAGATTAAAACAGAAGCTAGGGAAACACTCAATGGGAAAAGCCTTTCTTAAGGTAGATATAGAATTAAAGAATCGGAATAGGAAGTGACCAAATTAAAAAGTATAACAACATACAATAAAAAATAAATGAAGGGAGAAGGTTCGTTCAAGTCCATATTAAAATCAACAGACTTGACCGTTAATTTGAAATATACTATATCATCGGTTGGGGAACCACTCAAAAACGCAGGTAGAATTGAGGCAACAACCAAATGCTGGAAAACACCACTAAAAAGTACAATAGGAGTACGGACGAAGAAGTTAGTTGGAGGAAGGAGTTGAGTCTCTTCTCGGCTTCTACCTTTTGTTCTTCTCTTCTTACCACTTCTCGACGCAACTCACGCAATGTAACCGAAGATTGGTAAGAAGAGAGGAGGAGGGGGAGTGAGGGGTGCAGGTGAGACAGAATGAGACAAAAAAAGACTCCGCCTGTCAGTCAAGTTTAAGAAGTTTAACAAAAAAAGTGGTTGGAAACGCGGCTTAAAACACACTGTTAAAAATACACACACAGAAAAAAGGTCTATTAAAAAGCCTCCAAATAAATAAGCATATACGTTTTTTTCTTAAAGTTATAATATTTAAAAAATATGTCATATTTAGATAAAATCCTATTTAAACTCGAATCTATTACTCTCTACTTACAATCTCACTAATTCATTACGAGAATTACTTGTCACAAATCCTTTGTCTTCACCTGAAGACATAAGACAGTCTTCTGCGTTCAGTCTTGTGTCTTCCGAAGTGCAGCTTGTCGTCTGTCTTGGCCATTTCGCCTGGGCCAAGTTAATTATGGGTTGAGGTTTTCGAACCCAACTCCATCAGCAGCTGCCAGAAGAGGAAGAAGAGGAGAATGCGAAAAAAAGAGACAGATGCGTTCGGGGGGGAAAGAGAGGAGCGGCGGGGTTAAGGTTGGGGCCTAAATTGCAATCTCTATGAAAATTGGTTCAGCCTGCGGTCGGGGTCGAAACCATATGCCATTGTCCAAATCATCGTACAGTGGGGACTCGCCAAGGAGGAAAATCTCATAGTTAAACTCGGAGGACTGATAGTACTGAATTATATACTTACATAGTAATCTTTAGATGAATTCAAATACTAATTGTATACTGCCAAAATTTGTTTCACACTTCGTGTACTCACTGTAACTTATTCAGGAGGCCTCCGACCAGGAATCAAGTTTTATATAATTGCATCGTGTGTGTTTCTGTTGCTTTCTGTTTCTTTTGTTGTAATTCGATTCGTGAATCGTTCGGGAAAAAAGAATCACTTGAGGGATGCATTTTAATGGGTGCAAAGGGGCCGGGGGAAAAGGGGGCGGGGGGCGGGGGGGAGTGGCTGCTCATTCGCCTCGATTAGAACGCAATTTTCCTGCTGCCTCCTCCCACTTTTTTTCTTGCTGATGCTGTGCGGAACGATTCGAAATTGCTCCATAAGGAACTCGATGGGAATTAAAATGTTTGTTTTCTTTTCAACCAGAAAATCGAAGAATAAGAAGCAGGCGGAACAATAACAAGCAACACACACTCACACAATCGCACTGGCGTAGAATTCTTTTGGGGCCCACTGTGACCGCCACTCGAGTTCTCGATGTGATTTGCTTCCAATCCGAAAATACATCCACTCATCACCCCTCGCATTTCGGCCTCCATCCAGCTCTCTAATTTAATTTCCAATTGCACATAATCCGTTTTGGGCCTTTCAAGTATTTGTCGTAAAATTTGATGCGTAAATAAAAAAAAAGGAGCACGTAATGGAAAAAATTCCGCAATTGCCAGGGGAAAAAGGGATATAAAGGGAGCTGGCAGCTATTTTTTGTACATTTCTTTGTCTAAAATATCACGCAATATTTCATTGTTAAACAGTAAATAATTCCGTAAAATGCTTGGGATAATATTTTAAATTGAAGTGTCATTAGCAGAAATTAAAAATGATGTTCTTGGTTTCCATTTATATATAATAATATATAATATATATATTTTGCTGGCTACTGCAAATCCTCTGCAAACTCAGCAGGACAAACTAAAAAGTAATTGCCAACTTTTAGCCACTGGCCAAACATCAGACGTCTTCCACCATCTAAACATATATTATAACCCCATGTCATTCTCCTCGGAGCGGGTTTGATGCATTGATGCATTGATGGCTGATGGTTCTCATAGCCAGTTAATCCATTAGATGCATTGCATATTTCATTTGACATTTGCGAAACACAATTTGCCAGGCAATTTCCCCTCGAAGTCAGTTGCTCCCAGGGATTGGGTGTGGAAAATGGTTGAATGGCTGAATGGAGAGTGGGTGGAAAGCGGGGGGAAGGCGGGGGTGTCTAGTTGCATTATTAGATTGGGGCTATACTTAGTTCGAGAAGACCGTCGGGCGAATCTCTTGTAAACTAATTTTAGATATTGCCTTAGTTCGAC